CAGAATCTCCAACACAAGCCGTACAACTTTCCTTTTAGATGCGTTTGATGGCTCTGATGGCTCAGTTACTTGTACAGGAGGTGATTGAACGGTAGTGTCCAAATGTTTAAGTCATCCAGTTGTGATCCGGTCGTCAGGGTTTCCAACCGCTTCACCACCGCCTGTATTCTCCTTTTCTGTATTTTCCCAGGCAGCGTTTGTATGGCCTCAACCCCTTTCCTGAAAGTTGACTGAACGTTTGTTTATTCAATAAATAAAGAAAAGGAAGTTAAAAATACTTTTGTTACATTCTTCTGCAAAACGTTCACTAATATAATCGCGTTTCGTGAAAATACTTTGACTTAATTTGGCTAGTTCATTGATGGATAGGTTGCTTATATCACATTTATTCAGTACATTTATGACCTATCGCGCTGATTTTAGGTTGTCTAGAGTTTATTTATAATAAAAATTGGTGAACATTTCAACGAGCTTTATAGAACCAAAGTTGGCTAACTGCTTCATCTGAATGTTTAATAAAGGGGATATTCCAGTATGGGCTCAAAATTACTTTAATATGAAATTTTGTGACTCTTACACTTCGCAGCTTTTTAATGTAAAAGCAATTTTTATGGGCTCAAACAACAAATGCCTTGGAAGGAATTTCCAGTAGGTTCTATATCCCAATATGTTTTAGATATTTTTCAGAAAGCAAAGATTACAGACCTTGAACATTTGACTTAAATGGTGAAAATAAACTTGAAAATATGAAAACGCGTTAAGGTGACTTTTTCATAATAAATATTGCAATTTGTTCATGTGCGCCATCAACGATTGGCAAACAGATCAAATCCACCCATACTCTGTTATTGTTGCGGCGTTGGCACCATGCTTGTCCACAAGCTGGTGTTATATATGTATATATCACCAGAACAAAACTTGAGTCTAATACGTCCCAAGTATTTTTATGTATTAAAAAAACTAATACTGTTTATTTGGCCGTACTGTGTCCACGATTGACTTAAAAGTTTCTTCCAAAAGAATGTACATTATTATTGCCCTACCTTTCAATTACTCTAACAAAAACAATTTTACTTTTTGATTTCCTCTCTCATTTTGGAGAATAAAAAATCAAGATTATTTCGGCAGCTTATTCACTCTTACCTTTAGTTAAAGTCACTTAGAGTCATGCTGTTTCTCAATATTACCCTGGAAGCACAAATATGCATAGAGCGATAGATGAGGAATGACCATAGAAAACCAGATCTAAATCGCTAAAGCCAGTGCTTATTGCTTATATAAATCAAATAAAGACCATTCCAACTCAATAATCAGTGACAAACATCACTATTGCAGATGTGATTTTCTTAACATGTCTTAAAACGTCAACTTGCAAAGGGAGATCACCGTGAATCCTCATTGTCCAGCATCAGGTCTCATAACCGTGAAACACGCCCATCTCCTGTTTAGTATTTCATTGCAGCATTACTCGGCTTCACAACAAAATATAGTTGTGGGCACAGCCTTCTGCTTCCCATGTAGACTTATCCTGCAATCGGTGATGCAAAACATCTTGGTTGTCAGGTAGGGTGCAGCTGGTTAGATTGCCTATGTACCACCATTGAGGAGAAAAGTATCATCCAAATATTTTAGGATGGGAGATTTTTATTAGAACAGAGTTTGAGAACATCATTTTCTAGACCAGATAAAGTATTCCGCAGAAAATTCTCCAGAGAATAGCAGGTGAAGAGCAACCCCATCACCATTCCTTTAAGAAGGATAACCTCTAAGAAATAGATTTTGGTAAATTTTTAAAATACTAGAGAGTTCAATGAAGAGCTATTGCTTCAAACTTTAAATTTATATAAAACACTTTTATCGTTGATCAACTTAACTAGAAGCAAGTTAAAATCACGTCACACGTCCCATGCTGTTTCAATAACTGCTGTATTTTGCGTTGATCTTACAACAACAATATTAAATTTAAAAGTTCTTTAACGTTAGCAAAACAAAGTTAATTTTTCGATTATATTGATAAATGCAAATCCTTTGGAAGGAACTTGAGTGTAATGGAACCATAATAAAAACTGGCGCGTTATGAATCGGATAATTGTCCAGTGCAGTATTTTTAACCATTGTGAAAGATAAGTGCTAAATAATGTATTGGTGATATGAAGCAAATTGATGCATTGGATTGCCAACTTCTTTGGCTTGAGTTTGAACCAAGCAGATGTTATTGGCATTCACTCATGATAAATTAAAAAAGATAGCTTTCTTTGTGAATATAGCTATCTTGATTGTAAGCAAAAAATATACACAAATAAACTCTGTCTGAAACAGATTTTCTTAACTTGAAATGTTCTTGAAGACTTACTATGTTGGCGCCTTAACATTTTTCTGAGATGAACTTTGAATGTAAGAGCCTTAATCTTAATGCGACAAGTTTTGTCTCTTGTTTTCAAATTATCCTCGGTTAATTATAAATTATCACACAAGATCATAGTATCTAAACACGGAAGACAAAATAATGGAAAAAGTAACTTCGAAAATATGTGGTAAAGTCTTTCAAATAAATTCCTTAAGGCAAACTATATTTTTGGATTTCAAAGAGTTTAAATGTTTATTACCAAGAGCATTATAAGAGGTTAGAGTTTCAAGACAGAAAATAATGTTTTTTTGTATAACTGCAATTAGTTAACATAACAAGGGCCCTCAGGTGGTAATGTCTACTAAACTATCTCACCACGTCGGGCTTACTTATTAGTATTTTTTCTTTTTTTCTGCTCCAGTAAAACAGTTTTGAACTTTAAGGTATTGTATTTACCGACTCTGCTTCTTAGTTTTCGGTAGGAGTTAAACTGCTGTACATTTGGAAGCCTGTGTTCTTAGCTCAGTGGGATCATCTTTATTTCAGTTTAATCTGATAATTTTAAATCACGTGTGAAAGATTTAGTAAAAAACGTTCGTTGAGAAGTGGTGCGAAGTTTTCCGTAACCTAAGTTTTCTATGTACCACAATTTCTTCATCTTTCAAAGTTTGCTTTTGGACAGAATATTTCAAATTTGCTGAGTGATTTTTGTTGAATCGCCTTGCTTTTGTTTCAGGAAAATTTCGATCCTTTTTTCAGAATTTTAAATCAGTTGTTCCAATATTACTAAGATAATAAAAGGTCTCATTACCTACTCTTAAAGGTGGTATTTTGAACCGCAACTGTTGCAAGCCGAACCTTTTGTTATACCATTTTATTTCAAAGAGGGTTGAGAATTTACTCGTCTGTGTAAGTTTACTGTATCTTATTGCTGCTCTTTAAATACAGATAATTCAGAAATTTGGTTTATACATTATAATACTTAATTGATGTTTCTACTTCCTTTATCTACTTTTTGGGTTTACGATTATATAGACAACTAACAGGAAGGTACTTGGATCATAGGAAGGCTGTCTGGGGAAATGCAGGAAGGAGAAACATCACATCAGAAATAGCAAACGATAGAACAGATTTTGTTAACATACAGCACCTGTGGCGCCGACATCACATCCAACTGTCCATTAGTGGAAGAGTGGTCATTGCTGCGGTTCGCAGGTTTCTGCTTTACGGTTGAGGATGCTAATCAAACTTCTTTATTTGACCATCAATGTCCTCACAGCACTGTTCGTGTCTGGTGGGACCATTGGATGAGCAATAACGAGGTTCGTCGTCATGTGTTGGGTGTGTATAGTTGTTCTCTAAAAGAGGTAATTGTTCCGAAGCGTCTCCAATGGCTCGTTAATAAGTTGCGTATGCCTGCCCATCTTCTAACTTTTCATATACTCTTTGCCTTCGCTGGAAAAGGCTGGTCAGACCATGACCTGGAGTAGAGATATAACAAAGCAAGCTTTGGTATTGGTTGGTGCAGCACACCTTCCAGGTTAGAACCACGGGATAAGGATTGTCGTTGGTTAAAGACACCAAGAGATATGGCTCAGAATAAAAGTCTATGGCTCAAATGTCGTACGTCTGTTGAAATTCCATGTTCCATAAAAAACAACAATGAAATGATACCAAAAATACCAAAATGTGTATTGTGAAAGAAACAAAACATGTTACTTTGTAAAAAACTATAAACATTTGTACCTTATTCCACCGTTTTTATCTTTACCCTAGTCCTTCTTTGTAATTCTTGGTTTCATGCTGGCACCATTTTTTCGCACTCCGGCGATATACATATGTATGCGTATACATATATCTGAGCTCATAATAAGAAGCATATTTTGTGGTTTGCTTGTAAGCCGGTTGTCATGGTCAAAGCAGACATTTTCTTGGGAGCCTTTTGCTGACCAATTCCTGACTCCTGTATCAAAACCGAAATCCTTATTTTACTTTAACATTAACTGACGTCAGAATAAATGGGTAGTCTAGTGTAACTATATTCTAGGTTGTTTTAGAAGTTGTCTTTTTGGGGTGATTTTGGAGTGCAACAAAGTTGTGAAAATATTTTGCATATATGTTCAGTAGATATTGGTTGTTTTACAAAACAAAACAATGCAGCCATGATAGCTATTAAAAATTCTGTGAGATAATACTGATGTTATTTTTAAAATTTTCTACCTCAGAAATTGCAATTTGTAGAGCGCATATTTTCATGGTACAACTTTGATTGCATTAGTTATTGATGTTGTGCCCCAAAGTAATACTTTAACGACATGAATAAATTGATTTTTTCAACTGATTCCAAATTTTGGTAATTTCACTCTTATAACATTTCTTTAATCGGTGATGTAACAGAAATTTTTACTTTCTGATTTTCAGGAAAAAGTTGTTCAAACCAAAACATGCGGCCCAATAAAAGTTTATTTTCAAGTAATTCGCTATAATGAATTGTTCAGCAATTTACTTTTGAATGAAAACAGGGACAAAAGAATTCAAACGTCGTGTTTCTGACTGTACATGATTTGGGCTGCAATCGTAAGCATAACACAATCCAACCCGAACACTTCCTGTCTTAGATGAGGAAATGGTGACGTTTGTTGAGAACGAGAATATGGAGCAATTGGCCGAGAGGTGTTGTTGGGTTCATGTGGAAATTCCGGGTCAGGGCGGAGGTGAACCCGACTTACCATCCAAGTGAGTGCAAATATAGTATTTACTGCTATTACTCTTGTACCAAACAGAAAGTCTAAACAACTGACAATGTCTTGCAAATTTTGAGCCATTTGGTTATTCGGGAAACTGATCGCCTAAGTCAAAGTTTAATAGTCAAGCCGAAATTTTGCTCTAATTCACATGCAACAAACCAGAGATAACAATAGTTGTGTCTCGGTAGTGTAGTGTTAAAATCAGAAACTTCTGTATGACATTTTTACAGTGACTTGTGCAAAGAAATCATATCTCCACTGACGTGAAATCGAAGGTTTCTCTAATGAATTAAGACTACCAACCTTATTGTTGGTCTGACTGAAAGTAAAAATGTTATTTCACAGATTTCTCCAATTTCCTAGCTTTTGAAATACGATTGTTCTAATGTGGTTTTTAAGTTTCAATTTGGTTTAATAAAGCTGTTCGTTATGCAATTCATGGCTTTGTTTCTGATTGCTATCTTTTGGCAGCCATTTGGCTGAAGGAATATAGGGAAGATTGGGTAGTTAAGATTAGTGTCCAGGTAAAAACAGAAGACTCACGTGGGCTAAGGGTTCCAGGATAGTGAGTAAATACACTAATGTTAATGTTGAAGACACACTTTTATACCCTCACAGTCTCAAACCATCGGTTACACTTATTCTGGGGTCCCCATTCAGCTCCATGGGTTCATACTATGGATGACAAACTGTAATAGAATTCAAAACGGGTCGCATCGTTTTTAAAGAAAGGTATGGGCAACCAATAATGCCTATTTGAATTCCACCATCCCATTTTTGGGTTTTATTTTGCTACATATTTGGACGATAAAAGAAGAAAATTACTACTGTTATGAGGTGCTACTTACATTTTTGAGTAGTACGCAAAAAGATGCGGTTTGCGGTTTCTTTCAATGGTAAAAAATAAAATACTTTGTTCAAAATGAATACAATAGACTGTTCTATTCATTATTTTGTGTTCTGCCGAGAATTGTTATGACATGTTCCAACTGAGACGTAAACTATCCATATCCTAGCTTTGATTCGCAATAAGAGATCATCCTCGAGTCAGCATCCGTTTTCTGGAATTATAACACTATTATTATTATTATTATTATTATTATTACTACTACTATAGCAATTGTTATCATTCAACTCAGCCTTCAAAAATACGTTTTGAACGGATTACCCTACAAATGATATAAGAAGCATTTTCCAGAAAGAACTGATAATAAAACTATGGAAAAGTGCACGGTGAACCGAGAAAAATTTCCTGTTTTTTTGCCTTCTGTGTTTTTTTGACACTTTTCCTCTTTTGTACCCCGATTGCTCTTTATTCTATTGTCATCCCTTTTGCACGGGCTTGGAGGTCGTTTAAAGGCCAGTGTTATATTCATCTATATATGTATTTGATAATGCACGCTGCTCGCTAATACAACTCAGATTGAAAAAGATAATTATAAAAGTAAGTTAGAGTACACATACAATTTTACCACCATAAGAACCACTCCGGATTCACTTCCATTTGCATTTAGGAGTTAAAGCTTCTACCAAGTTAAAAGGTAGCATTGTCAGACACTTGAATAATCGTTAAAATCTCCTGAACAATTAGCGGTATTTATGTTAAAAACTAAGAGTGTGTTATGCTGGTCAGATTTTTTCATGTCTCTCAGTTGCGACCGGTGTTGAGATAGCTTCTCAAAACTGAACATTGATGTCTTCAAAGTATAATTGAAATCAGCGAGAAGATGAATGAATATTTAGGTTTGATAATGTCAGTAGTGCTTCCCTATTTGAAATGGACTTTCCCTGCTGGTAGTATTCACTGATAAATAGAGGAATTCGAAGATGAGAACACATGAAACTAAATGTTCCATCCGAAGACNTAGGTGACACTAGTTGGTACCTTTTTCAGTTCACTAGACCTGCAAATCTATGTCTGAAAGCATCGTGCAGTGCGATTCTGCCAGATTTATGCATACTATTCACTCAGTTGCATCAGCTTTGAAACGCTACGCTTGAATTTTATCTTGATTGAATCCCGTTTTTATTTTCCGTGTGATGTTGTACACAGAGCAAAGGAATCCTAAACCTTTCTGTGTCAGGTTACAGTATTTGAGTTGCATCATGCATTAACGGGATGACCGAAACGAACATTTTAATAAATCATAAATGCTGCACTAATTGAACTTGCAACACACCCAGTTGCATTGCCTATAATCATCAAGTGTACCAGAAAAAAATTTCTGTGCCCCTTTCTTAAGAATAATCATTATTTATGCGAGATCTCGGAATCCCTCATCTGGTTGTCAACGTGTCCAACCAATAAATTATAATATTCTAAGAACAAAGTTGCAGGCGTAGATGTTAAAAAACAACTATGAAAAACAACAATGAGGCCATCCTTTGAAGTGTTATTATGTTTTTGACATTTTTTGGAAACCGCTATTAGAAATTAGTGGCATGCAATGACCAACCTTAATTTTTTGACTTTAAGTTCATGTTATCCGCCATAATATGTAAGGTGTTCTAACACAGTAAAGTTTGGTAATGTATAAAGATTTAAAAACGCATTATGAAGTATCTCTCAGGGAGTACAAATGTTCAAAATATATTGTTTTGGGTCATAGAGATAAGTCAAAATAAAAATTCACTATCCAGAGAATGAAAAACATTAATTCATCATCAGAAACACCATCATCATTATTAAAAAAATAAAAGCAACAGATAAATTATTTAAAGTGGGTCTCAGAAAATCCCGCTTTCAAACTTTTAAATTGTGCAGGGGCTCTCATTGAGAAAACTAAATATTAAACTGCGGTTAAGTATACAATGTGAGATATATTACTGGTGATTTTCTAAGGAGTACCGCAAAAATCCAGTGAGCTAGTGCGAAGCAACTAATTTCTCTCTTGTCTGGTACTACTGCAAACAATATGTAAAATTAGCATGCTCGAACTGAATATGTTTAAAAAGACCATTAAGGAGAATCTAACTATCAGCGTTAAGTTGGCATACCCAAAAAGTTAACATTCGTGCTTGATAAGCAAGGATAGATAACAGTTTAAGAGTATTCCACTGGTGTTCTATTCTTGTTAACTTAAGTGTAATATAAACTCAATCATAGGATTATTAATAATGGTGACTTTTAGTACCCTTTCTCAAAACTTCCTCTCAATTTCAGTTACGAATTCCCCACTATGCAACAATTGGCAAAGGCGATGGGAGAAATATGCGACAACTTAAAGTAATGTTCTGTTCGAGCACCAGTTTGTTATTTCAAAAACATTTTAGTTTGCAACATGTTATAGTATTGGGCGAAGGTGCCGGAGCAAACATTCTGGCCCGGTTAGCGGTAAGTGATCGATTCAATCTGGAACATCAAAACACATTTCCCCTTGTAATGCGACCCTGTCTATCACTCTCCCTCCCTCTCTCTCTCTCTCTCTGCTTCTTCTTCTCCTCCTCCCCCTTCCGGTTTGTTGTCGAATAGATGTTGCGTGAGGAATTGGTATTAGGTGCTGTGCTCATTCATTGTACCCTAACCAGTGCTGGTGCTGTGGAAAATATTCGAGATCGAGTAAGTTAAACACATTTTGTGTTTGAAGGTGAACGATTAATATTTTGAATGAAATGAACTGCATCGGTATTTTTATTGACCCGCGGAATGCTCAAGCAAGGATCTCTTCAGTCGACCTCATGTACCATGAATGCTATTTATCTACACGTTTTTGGGTTTTACCGTATCAGTCAAACTATAAGATCGGCTAGTTATATGCTTTTCATCAATACCGTTCAGTTGAAAGCAACTAACGTGCGGTAAGCAAGTAATGAAGTAGTAACACATCCGGACGAGTCGTAAAATCATGCACAACAATTGAAATCCAACGAAATATTTACCACTAAGATCAAACAGGATTTTTTGATCACAAAAGGTAGAAACACCAAAAATATTTAACTATCATTTATTTAGAAAACGACACAGATTGTTCCCAATGGTTACAAATATTAGAAGAGCAAAGCATAAATTCCTCCTTTTTGTGGTAACTAAATAAACGCATAATACAAAGATAAAAAATGATCTCCAAATTACAGTTTTATGTAGATTTCATTGATGGAACAATTTCACATAATTGTCATAATGATGATAGACAATATCATCAACAACAAAAGTAACAAAGAACAAAACTTCAAACCCAAACAACATGGGTATAATCACCAGAAAACTAGTAGATTTCTTTTACAAATCATGACGAAGTTTTATTGAGCGCTTTAATCTGGTTTATAAATTAATCGATTGAAAAACATTTTTCATCAAAGAGGATTCAGTGATCCTTATAATTACAATTTTAAATAAAACTTTATGATTGAATACTAAAATCAAGTAGGAAAATGATGGAATGATGTGATAATCGGGACAGTTGTTTCCACCGTGTTGTTGTATATCAACAGTGCGCACGGTTTCTGTATCCCCGTCAGTATTCGGTTATGGTATCTTTCCACCGTATTTAAAATACCATACCATGTTGAGAGCGAATTAACTCCAAAGCAATGCCATCAGTAAATTGATATTTTCAATACATAAGTTCAAGGTAATCGGTGATAAAAAATCCAGAAGGTTTAACTTCGTACGTGGTTCGACTCATGAAAACAACAGACCATAAAGACCAAAAAACCATGAAAGCAGATTAAAAATAAATCACAAAACATTCGGTCATTCACAGCTGTCAGCATATATACACTTCTTTGATTGGTTCTGAGCATATACATGCACCAACTGATACATGTGTTTAAATTGATAAAACCCTTAGGTGATTGGTCGAAAACTGAACAACATTGGAATGAACCCAGCTGCAGAAGCCTATCTCATTGCTCACCGATTTGGAACCGTAAGTTTTTGTACGGAGTGTGATTGTGCATGTAATTTTATATCTACTGACATAATCTGGAAGACGATAATGCTGTTTTGTTAACTTTCCCAAATGCATCTGCCTCCGTAAGCTGCAAACTCTTCCGATCCCAAATTATATTTCTGTTTAAGACGTTGGTTCAATGCTTATCTGCTAGCCGGTGATATATATATATATACATATATATCTATAATAGGTATTAAAAGGATAGAGTATTGGAGCAAAACTAGATCATAGGTTGATTACTGGGTAGTTTAGATTTCAATATGGCGAATAAATTGAAGTTATATATTTTGGTAAAAAGTGATCTATTTTTGTTCTAATTGGCGTGTTAGGGATACTCCAAAAACATGTGGCTTGATATGAGACCCAGTGCTGAAGTATTTTGAGTTGTAATCCAATTTTTGCATTTCAGGTCTCTGAATATCTTAAAAGTAACACTAAGCCCAGATAAATGATTATATTCACGGTATCAGATTCAAATTTGGAACGTGTCTTTGAAGAAACTGTGCATCATGCTCATAGTATTAGATACTTATAGTAATGTTTGGATTAACCACAACGAGAGAAAACCAAAAAACAACAATTTTTCGGTCGACGACGTTTCGACTCTTTTGGAAGTAATATTACTCGCATGAATCCTCGTCTATTTCCTGAAAACGAACGAAAAACCCCAGTAGCAGAATGACAGTCTTCTTTAACCAACCACTCATTTTCTGTTTCTTAGGGAATTAGCTCGTTTGCTTCTGCTGCCCCTACCGACACCACTACCACCACACTGTGGAGCTTTGGTCATCATCGAGAAAACTTGATGACGTGTGAGGATGAATGGATTGGTTCGGGCTGATTGACCTGAGAGAGACTTGTCCTCGGGTAACCTCACGAATGTGTCTCTATCTCTTGCCCCTTTGTGCTGCCTCGTCTTTGCGCCCACACATTCGCAGAACTGAGCAATAGCTTGTTCATTAGCGTCGGAAAATGGCCGGTTTGAAGTGAAAATTTATTCCTGGTTGTAGTATTCATCAACATTGTTTCTGCTAATAGGTGCACATGACACATGCGCGTGAAGACAAATGAACAATAGTGGTTTAGGTGATAAGCTTTTTACTGATATCCCGTTTAAGCGATAGCCTGGAGAGATGCGATAGAAATGAACTTAAGGCGAGTGATAATTTATTCATAGTTGGAGGAAAACGAACAGACCAAACAATTGCACAAGCCAATTTCGATTGCCACGAATCTGTCCGTCTTTCAAATGCATATAAATGTACTGAATATGTAAAAGGAAACTGAATCAACTTTTAATACATAGTCTGTCCGACTTGATTATCCTGAATAGCTTTCCGTTTTCAACCTACCGAATTGAGGAATTTTCTTCTACAGTAAATCAGATGGATTCATTAGGGTTGCATCGAAGGCAAGAGCTTGAAAATAAAGGGTTACGATCTGTAAACGCTGACCTCAAAGATAGGTTCATTTCTAAAAGAGTTTATAGATGACATATTTAGAAGAGCCAAGGGCTCAGTATCATAAAAGCTATCGTTGACATTGCTGACAGATAAAAACGCAATTAGAAGCTTATGGTAGAATGTTCATTGTAGGAGAACAAACGTTGCAATATGTCTATTCCCAAGCTGGTTTTCATGGTGTTCTTCAATAGTTAAGAGATTTTAATATTTAGAATCAAAAAATACCAATTATGACAGGAAAACGCAAGTTCAGACTAAATGACTCAAAGAAAACAAATGTTTGCCTGTGAACATGTGTCCTCTTTGTGCTATTTGTTGAAACTTTAAGGATAAAAATGAAAGGCGAGNGGGGGGGGGGGGACTGAACACGCTATTATATGTTACAAAAGTTCTCAGTAGGTGAACTAAAGGGTTTCTTAACTAAAGCACGATATATTTTTACTAAAAGTGTTAACCACGTGTTTTCTTCTCCAAACAAGATAAAGCAGAAGTAGAGATATTTTTTACTGCTCTGAGTAGTTTAAACCTACGTAATATAGAGGGATCCAGAACGAATATATGCAGCACATGGACAAATTAGCTGCCGTTTACAAAGTACACTGTCTTTACTATACAGGCTACCCAGTAACTTGAGACGGTTAAGATCTCAGTACAGACCGCGAGGATAAGAGCACGACAATATTGAATAGATCACGGGTTATCATCTTAATCATACTCTTTACTTGCAAACCGGTATCTAATATTTGTCAGTAATCTCACATAAAAGAAAAACAAAAAATACTGGAATTGGAGAACCTCCGCATTGCTTCAAATGAGACGCTTTTTACTGACAGAAAATCAATCTGTTATGCTCTAAATACACTTTAACTGAGTCTGCCTTTATTTTCCCATTCGATGCTGGACAATAAACCTAACAGATTACTTGGTATTCTGTGAAATACTACACACGAGTACTATTATCTTGTTAGTTCTTTATCTCTCTGAATACATCTTCCTACGTGAGATACTAACGAAAACTCTCTGTTTAACTGGCATATCCGGCTTTAATGTGATATTGAATAAATACACCATTTTATTTCGAAACTGAATCATTACGATTTGGTACCTGTTGGCATCTGATTACATTTACTTATCCGTGTTATCTTCCATAAACTTGCCATCACATCAGGGTTTCCAAAATGATTCGACTTGAAAAATAGTTGGCAAGGTGTTTATATCGATTCAATACAATGTTCTTTTCCAACCTGTTTTCTTTAATTAAAAGAGCTGGAGGAATACGACACCCTCTGGCATTTATTTAAGGAGATGGTCTTGAAAAAGAATTAGTGCTTTACTTTCATTCACTGCGTGATATTGTAGGAGTTTAGGAGCTTCCACTGATATTTTATTTTATTTATTTTTATTTTTATTTTCTAACCGTCTTCACGGCAGAGCAATAAGAAAATTCAAAAACTAAAAATGCATTGAACTTAGGAGATTTAAGTTCTATTACAAAGCGTATTTATGCCAATGTGAATAACAGTAAATTATAATTCTGTCGGAAACTGGATGACTATTGAAAATTGAGCAAACGTTTGTTAGTTGAACAAAAACTTCTGATACAGTGACTGATATTTTTCTTTTGGAAATCAGACCTACAGCCATGAAATTACACTTGGTCAATGATAATGTTTGATAGGTAATAGAAAAATCTTAGAGAAACCCATAAGCCAACCAGTTTACTTCCAATTTCAGGTGAACGACACACAGGAAGATTTACGTATGAAGCCCTCAGTGACCACGTTCCGTAAATCCCTGCAAAATGAGATTAATCCACGCAATCTGAACAAGTATATCATGTCATTCATGACGTAAGTTTCTTGAAGATAAAAGTAAAATTTGAGTCTGCCGTTTTTTGAAGAGCGCCAAAGATGTATATATAAAATGATTAGCACCCTATCATTTCCATTTAATTGACTTGATAGACAGGCATTTCATCTTATTAACTTCCTAAATGACCTCTTGATTACCGTTAAAGCAGTAAAATTGTTATGATTGGTTTAGTCCATCTGATTTGACAGCAGTTAGACACTGCGTATAGGTTTATTAAAGGGAAAAATAACATCTAGATAAATCGGATGAAGTAAAACCAAAACTGTATTATCTACTTGAAGCAAATTGAAGAAAAAAATTATATCATGTTTTCTGTAATTGCTCGTTTTATGTGACTCTCTACAAAACTACTCACAAGTCACTCCAGAAGTCAAATCAGATATGCCTTTCAGATTACCTTTTCAAACTATTTAAACTAAATTACAGTGCAATTTATGGATTTTCAACAAATTAAATGGAAGTTGGATGATTATTCTGGATTCTTAGTTATAATAGACAAATTTTTACAGAATGACTGGTACTGAATCACCAACAAAATAAACCAATCGATTGTCCTGATAGATACCAACAAAATATCTTAATTGTCGACGTCTTTTTTGCTTTCTGTAACGTTAACACATGAAAAGAGTTACACTAGGGTGATCCAGCCACATTTTGAATTTCAAAAGTAAACGGGAGACAATTAAATAAGGCAGCCTAGTATTGTTTGTTCGAATCCATCAACACGTGTTCCAGAGTCCCATGTTCTCCGATTGTCTCGCTTATGAGTTACAGATCACATTGAAGGAAAACGCAGTTAGCGGAAGGCCAATTGGCGTCAATTTTGATTCCTGAACAACCACAAACCATGTGTGTAACCAGGCATTCACCGAATCACGTTGTATTGTGCCTCATAGTCATCTAATCGAGTTTTTTTCGATCATGCGTAGTCACTAATCTATGTTCGACGAATGTTTATAATCGCTGAACCGATAGACTGCATGTGTGCTTGTCTCCGTCTGCTCCAACTGGCCAACACCAGATCGGAGCCATATTCCACTGCGGCGTTCTGCTGTGACGAAATAAACTGTACACGGCCCTCGATAATAAAGCGTCAGAGAAAGTAGATGATGAAGTATGATTATCGTTAAAAGCCCGCTCGTTCGGTGGTGTGCAAGGTTATCTGGTAGGCGATTTGTTTCATCTTTAGGAGAGCGGATATCTTTGAGCGATTGAATTGACGATTTGTGACGTTGAATATAGAAAGGGGTTAGTTATATACCGACTGACCATGAAATTAATTATTTTTATAATTTCAGGGAAGTCTACAATAACCGAAAAGCCATAACTCTTCACTCATATTGGGAGTCCTCTTTATTGCTCGAACTGTTTAAGAGATAAACAATTAATGGCCAAATTCCACTTTATTACTAAAAGCCTGTGCTTTTAACCGAATGAGGTGATTTCATCCAATACTCCGTTGTCCTGGTTTGCGCAAATAGTTCATGGATATTACTGAAACATTTAGATCCCGTAATGAATTTGAACATGCAAGTTAGAAGACAAACACTGCAAAAGGAATTCCTTTCGTATACTCTCATCGGTCGCGTATGTGTAACACTGAAGAGCATGGACAAATGGATATTAGCTTAAGTTACTTGGTTAAAGTTCTAAAATCATTCTAGCAGCATCTGGATTGGTGAAAAATAACTGAAGAGCACATTTTGTTTCTGCAATAAGTCATTTTAGTGGCATAAATATAACTGTATACTTGTATAAATATAATTGTTGCATTATTATGTAAATTTACCACTGTATCAAAACCAGCTGTGGTTAGAAGTAAATAGAAAAAAGATCTTTTAGATGAAGTTCTATATATATTGCTTAATAACAAAACACAGCATTATTGGAAAGTTGGTAATTAGTCAACTTTTCAGTCATCGTGGATCATTTTTCTCAAGATGATTTTGAGAAGAGTTACCAACGGTAACTGTACTTAGGTGTAATAAATATAGTTATTTATATTACCAGTCTAAACAGACTATAATCAAATACTACTCATAATCCAACAAAATACAGCAAGTAAAAGATTTGATGGCAATTTTTTACGTCATACTATAAGCTTCATTTTTCTTTATTCTTTAAGGTGGTTAATGAATTAGCTCGGGGCCTCCATAGTTGGGGGAATATTTCTTCGCTTTTCTAATCAACAAACTCATCTGAATAGTCACAAAGGCCTAACCGAAACAAAGATGTGTATGGTTTTAAACACACACAAGTTCATGAAATGACTGCCGCTAGATCACTCTTAGGCACACCCAGAGATCACCACCAGTGGAGAGAACAAATCTCATAGACGCAAAACTGACTTCATTTTGTAAACACGCTGCTGTAAACGATGGAACACCGAGTAGAAAACCACTGAAGGCCCGAAAAAAAGTTAGGGCGAAGTTCAGATGGCCAACAGTGAGGCTACTTACCATCAAATTTGGGTTGACTGGCACTTCATCTTCGGCGACGCAAGCCGCCCACAACTTATTGCTGGAGCGGCTAGGGAATCTTAAAGGTTTTGATCCTATATTCATACCGCCAATTTGGGAGTAAAAGTTCTCACTCATAATCCTCTTTCATATTTCTATTACAACAGCCGATCGAAAGCAATAAACGATGTTGACAAACTTCAGTGAGTGGATATTTATTTAATATTGGAATGTCAAATATACAATTTTGAATTATATGATCTTCAGATCTAGCATTATCCATGCAATGTTTGCGTGTTTCTTTGATAGGCACATACTGCTCTTAAAAACGGCTGTTTTGCTACGAGTTTTACATGATCTCATATGAAAAAGGTAAAGGTAAGATGCCCTATTTACCGATATTGCTGTTTAGCGCAGATACTTAGCTTTTCGACTACACCGGTTTTCAATTAGTGAACAAAACAAGATCCTACAAATGTGAAATAAGCTCTTTTCCAGGAAATAGCGGATGATGAGACTTGAAACAAATCTCTAAAACAGAAATACTTTTCACCTAGTGGGAAACTTCGGAAATATTGAAAGGTGAAATTAGCAAAACTGGACTACGATCTACTATCACTTTCACAACTGTAATGTCGAACTTTTGGGTGGGTAGTATGTGATACGTTAGTGGAAACACATTACCTGGTTCAGCGATTGGATCTTCATAATCGATGACCACAAGGTCAAAATTAAAAGGCATTTCTTTGAGTGGATCGTCGCTGATCTTCTGCAAGCCACCGCATAACTAGCAAAATAATTTACCTTAGTTTAAGTATTTGGTTGCACTTTAGTATTTTGGGAACGTGTGACCAACATTCATATAACGTCTTCGAATAGGATCATAACTCGTATGTTTTGTAAGTTAAGCTATATGTAACTTCGTTGTCGTCAGTGTTTTCTGTGAGTTTATCTCCACGAACAACTCACAAATAAGTCTCATTTTAAGTATATTTGCAATAATCACATGTAGCAACAAAATGTAGGAAAACAATTATCTATACTTCCAGAAATGGTGATGACCATCAAATCAGATTGTACCTTTTTACATAAGTTTATTTATTAGTTTCGTATACTTGTGATATATATATATACGTTACTATGAACTTGAGTGAATCAAAAATTCTTAAATTCTTTTTGCATTAGGTTTCATTTCTCATTTCTTATGCAACAAAAAAAACTTAGACGTCGTCTTCGTATTTATTGTTTCAAAGTCACACAAACGCTGTTTAGACACCGTAGAATGGATCTTTTATATGAAACAATTAAGGACTTCGGGACTCATACATCAATCCCCTCAGGGGTCAAGATAAAAGGGGTAGGGTAAGAGAACGGGGGAGTTTTCATTTCAAGTTCCCTATAGGGAGGAATTCCAGAGAAACTGACCACAATGTGCCATTTGATTGAAGCTGATATTAATTTGAACAATGTACATGATACTTTTAAAAATTTAATGATGCACAGAAATATTTGTTTGCCAGTTTCTTTTGGTAGTTATATAAACAAATACTTTTACGTTAGGTGGAATAGCATTGAGTTTACGTCCAATAGTTTTATGGGTTGCACAAAATTTGTATCAGGAAGAGGTCACGAGTAAGTTCTATATGATAAAACTAATACAATGATGAGTTTGTCAAGGAACGTAACAGGTTTTGTACCAGCCTACTGGAGGGGATATAAACTACTAAGCGTTTTACGGAGTGACTGTTTCTTATGGTTACGAATATATCCACAACAAGGACTTCTAAATTATCGGCAAAGAGGCTTGCATCCAAGTAGTAGAATGCAAGGTAAGGCGCAGAATCTTGCGTATGTCAATCGAATTAGTACAATCGTTCTTGCCTGTTTCATGCTTTAATAAGCAATCACAGCTCACGTACTTGAATACACATAGTTTTCTTAAACTCAATCAATTGCGCTTATTTCTCAATTAGATGTCCAGTATTACTACTTACCGGAAGTCTGTCAGCACATAATAAATCAGCACAACAACTGTTCAAGGCATTGCGTAAATCCGCGGAAAATGAACCGGACCGTTTGAAACGCATTGAACTAATTCAGTTTGATGATGTGGCCAATGTACTTCGCGGACGAGTGAGTTCAAATCGGATCGATCGAAATAACTTTTTTGTCTGAGTTGCAATGCGAATAAGTAAAATGCGGAACACCTTTTTCACGATTGGTACAGCCCAAAAACGATTAGGAGGAAGTTTTCCATACTAAAGTGCTTCCAGTAGCTTAACTATTTGAAAGTAAATAAAAAGACTAGCTTCCTTTTGGAATTCAAGAGAAAGCTGAGTTTTTGATGTGAGCCGTTCGTACGAAAGACTAATTGTTTTGCAGTTCTCCAATCGTTCTGTGAGTATTTAAAAGTTTTGATAAAGAAAAAGCCCATTTGAAAGAAGATCTAGGGTTCACGGAAGGCTAAAAAAAACACGACATATTATTAAAAATCGTTCGGCAATATCAAGTACGTGTATTGGAGTAGCACCCCAAGGAAACAATTTGATATTACGGTGAATGATAAACTACTAGTATTTATAAAATTCATCTACTGATTACCAAAGGAAAGTATGTGAGAAAAAGATGATAGCAAGGGTCCTATTTCAAGATCTGTACTTCACGAACCCGGGATCTATTATCACGTTGATTGTCTTTCTCAATCATGAAAATATTTCCGTAGAGCAACTTCTAAGTCTAAAATAGGAGAGGGTTTGTTGTAAGTTTATCCAATTTCTGTTAACAGTGGCAAGATGCAGTATATGATCGAAGCCCTTGAAAAACTCTGCCATTCCGAATTCATAAAATGTATACACGTATATATATATATATAAATATATATACATAAGCTGCGTGAAATTGAGTTATAATACAAAACCGCACTTTTAATTCTGTCACTGAAGTTCCTAGTTGTGATTTGCGTGAACATACCAGCCATACCATAGTGTTGATCTAAGGTCAGATAGCTTGATCGGAAAAGTTCAGTTTCCAGTGATGAGAAGATGAACCTCATAAGTGAGCGTTAACGCCACAGATTCAACAGAAGTATAAGAATAATTCATTATTAACGCGCTAATCTTTGTGTTATGTGATTAATTATTTATATTTGAACCGCGTTAGAAACTAAGTTCCGGAGTAATATTTGGTATTATTTTCTTCGAACAACTAGTAAACAGACTGATGGCATTATGTCATATACGCGTATTGATAACGGGAATCACACATCAGTGGACTAGGAAACAGAGTGGAGGATCGCCCAGCTACGTTGATATTGTGTTTAGTAGACAACCACTTCGGGTCAGAGATAGGCCAATACAATATTTCGTCAGACTATAAAATGTATCCCACTGGCTACCCTATTAAACACAAATTAAGCAGCCTCTCGCGTTATCAACAGGTTTCTATTGTAATAACCAATGCAAAGCGAATTCTCACAAAGCCTGACTGCATTCATTTTTTGTGTCATATTTTATTTTAGCCGGAACGAATGTCAGACTGCCTGCAGTACTTCATTCAAGGACTGGGACTTGGTAGGTGTTGAATTTGAGAATTTTTATTTTACTGATTACAGCCGAACTAATGTTTTAAAATCGTAAATGAGGAAATTTGATTGCTTTGTGATCACATAATTGGAGACAAAACGCTTGCTTGTGGGATTTGTAAAATGTAACGATCAAATTACATTGTGAACTGCAATTCCTAAACATTTGTTACAAAATAAGCTCTATTTGAAAGTAACCTAAGTAGTTTGAATTACTGTAGAAAGTAAGTACAAGAGAACTGATGTTCTGGTGGCACATAAGGTATAATGTTGTGAAATGTTTGTTTAATAATCAGGTAATAATCGGTTTTTATATCTTCCAACCAAATCCTGAAAAGATATTTTCTAAAACTTTACCCTATTACTTGAACAAAAAAGCTTTATGGTTTTTTCTGGGATCTAGACAAAACTATAGAAAGTTCCAAATAGCATTATTAACATATTCACAGGTTACAAAAGTGAAACTAATTGATGACAATGTCAATCAGTGTGATTCACTAGTTGTAGACAACTCTGCTGATATTTAAACTTGGTCATCCACCGTTTCATGATACTGTGTACAGTTCATGTGTTCTCATTCAGGAACAATATAACCTTATGACTACATTTTTAACAGTAAATAGTTTATCAAAATGAACTCCCCCATGAAAAGAGCTCAAGTACGATGTCAAGTCTGTTGTAAAGCTAAATTTTAACCACCATTGATAGATGGAATTCTGTTGACAGTTTTTATTTGACGGTTACTTTTTTGCAGGTGGTGGCATTGTGAATCGACGAATGAGCAACACTATTCCACCCCCGGGGCGCGCTCGTTCATACTCTATGGAGGAATATGATCAGCCCAAAGGAGTGGCACTGTGCGTGTTCGACAAGAATCGGAAATACAGCACGGCATTCGACGAGGGCGACGACGAGACTAGTGAGGTGTAGACAACATGAGGCATCGAGTGGCAATCAATCCAACAATCACTCGGTCAGTACATTCGTACATTCGTACAGACACACATACAGACACAGAAAATACCGTAGTACTACTCACCCGCACTTGCACTCAAACGGATTGTGACAAACAACGTGACAGCAATTACCTGTTAACATCACCGACTCTACTACTGAACAACAAATTTAGCTCAAATCTGATCTGTTCGTTCTCATTGTTTCTTATCGTTATTGTATTCTTAGTCTCAGTTTGCAACAGGTTGCAACAAAGCACCAACTATTCATCGCTTTTTATTGTCCAGATTCAGTTGTCCCATCCTTTTGGCTGCAAGACAGTCAATTAGTGCGTCGGACGATCAAAAACCGCTCAATCAATCAATTGATCAATCAACCAATCGAACGTTCCCATCACTCAGTTTTTATGAGTCCTTGGAATGTCAGTCTGTTTCACTGTTTGTCAGTTTTTCTATATGTAAGTCACGCACATCACGACAGTGTTTCTCATTTTGTTCCACTAACTGATCACTTGATCATACACAACGCATATGAAAATAATCACATTGACTGTCATCTAACACTATGCCATTTTCTGCAAGACATTCTCAGTATGGCAATCATTTTCTCATGTGATTTAATCATCACAACACTATCCTCCTTTCCCGTGTGCGCTGTGTGAGTATGAACGGTTATGGTTCCAAGAATCATATCTTTAATGGAACATCTCAGCCAAAGAAATATTTCTCACAGCGGTTCACAGTTAGTAGATAATTAGCAGCTCAACTGTTTATGAATCAAGACAACACAGATCAGTCCGCTACTCTTCTGGTTTATCAGTAATTTGTGGGATTTAGAACAGCAGATGAGATCAACGACTGAATTATGGTATAGGGATAAAAAGCATTAAATAATGATTCTTAGTCTGAACTGGAAAAAGGTAACTGCAATAGAAGAATAAAGTTAGATTTGGTGATCTTAAGAAAATGACGTTCTATTTGATTCACCTGTACTCTTCGAAATGCGATCAAAACTGCGTAAAAACCGATAATCGAAAACTTCTAGTGGACAGATATCTCCTACTCGCAAATTCAAGGTCTCACAACCATAAAGCAGAACTGAACAAACGGTGGCACAATATACACGACGTTTGAATTTCAGTGAAACATGGCGTCTACGCCAAAGGTGCTTCAGTCCTGCGTATGCTGCTCGAGCCTTGGAAATGCGGGTGGTTATCTCTTTTGCTGCGCTACCGTCATTGGTCACGCAACTACCTAAGCAGGAAAAATAATCCACCATAATTAAATCCTGACATGTAGTTTCAGAGCGGGAGTAGACGAAACACAGTCCTGCAGCGTCATTTTGTACTTTGAAGGTGCAAAGCACATACCGAATGTGGCTACTGCACTTGTGAGTCTATCAAGTGCGCTTTGTGCTTCCTCCATACATTTGAACAGAGAGACGATATCATCGGCGTGCTCTAAATTGGACAGTTTTTCTATAGCTGTCCATTCAATACCTACGTTTCAAAGTCGCCTTAGTGCGCTCTCCAGTATTTCATCTACGACAAAATTGAACAGGAACGGCGAAAAAGGGCACCCTTGACGAACACCGCTGCTGCTGATGGCCTACTTAGCCTACTCAGTTCGTTGTAGACCCTTACACGACCAAAGGTATGTGAGTACAGTGACCTCATTGGGTTAACGTACTTTTGGGGCATCCATTTTCGGAGAAGGGAGCTCATCAGAGCTTCGCGGTCAACTGAGTCGAAGGCTTCTTTCAGGTCAAGGAACACTGCGATCGTTGGCCGGCGATGGGTGTGACGCAGCTCAAGGATCTGACGCAACGTAAAAATTTGACCAATACGTCCACGGTCAGGCCCGAATCCGGCTCGTTTTTCACGGATGTTGGTCTCAGTTAAAGGCGTCAGACGACGAAGTATAATCAAAGCTAGCACTTAGGTGACGATCGGGATCAAACTTATCTCGCGGTGGTTTTCGTAATCGTTGCGGGATTCTTCCTTGAAAATAAAAACGATCAGTGATTTGCCCCAAGATGAACGAATGTTCTCTTGCATCCAAATGTTGCGCAGTAGGGTAGTAATAGAGGTTACGAGGTTATCACCTCCCATCTTGAAAATAGTGGGAGGGAGCTCATCCGGTCCTGCTGCCTTTCCTCGCTTCAGAGCTTGAATGCAAGACCGAACTTCTGTTTCTTTTGGAGGATTGCATGACACTGCCCACGGAGCTTCAGTTGCAGATGAAGCAGCCTGGTTAACACTAGGCCAGCTAAACTGTTCGCTGACTTATCGCAGACTATTTTACTAACGGGAGTTCACCGACCTCCCGTATTGCGTATCAGTCGGAACAGTCTTTGACTATTCCCTGATGCAGCTGCTACTTCCATTTCACCAGCTATTTTTGCCCACCAGTTCTCACTGTCCTTCTTGAGGCTCTTCGTGAGCTGGAGTTGTAGAAGCCACCTAACACTATTTTGATCCTGGCAGGTCGGGATTTGTCATTTTTTCTCCATCAAAACTACTGACTGCTGGGATATCTGATGCCTCCGACGGGTCTGAGGCTCAGACCCACAAGCAACATTCGATGCGGAATGCATTGCTCGTCTAATCTGATCCCACTGATAATCTACATCACGATTTTGAGGTGCGCTTAGCTCACGCATTAGCTCTGACTCATAGCGTGCACGAACTGCTGGAACAGATAATCGATGGTTAGCTGTATGAGTTTTCTGAATTCGTCGCCGGCCAGTCAGTAGAAGAGTGAACTGCATCAAAATAATGCATGGTCAGACTCAACGCAGGTGGTCCAATAGGGCCTAAAATTTTGCACTGACCCGCGCCAACCGTAACTTACTGCGATGTGTTCGATTTGAGTTAGCGTACCAGTTGAACTGGAGCAGCACGTTGCCGTCCGTCGACAACTGTGTCGGAAGTTGGTACTTGATAGGAACAGATTATGATCTGCGTAGAACTGAGGAAGTCGATCGCCGTTATCTGGGCGGAGCACAACTACCGCCTAGGCAAGCTTCTGATGCGTCTAGTTTTCCAACCTGCCCGTTGAAGTTACCTGCAAGTACAACTATGTTGGAGCCTCTACTCATTCGAACGATATCGCTGAGTTCGACTTAGGCGTCCTTTTGGGTATAAGAACTGCAATTGGTAGGTACATATGCTGATACAACGAGCAAACACCTTTTGGTGTTGCTTCCCTTCCGGATGCTGACTGAACCTTGAAGACGCACTGCACATAAACGACTGTTGAAGGAGATCCAATCGATTAGAGAGGACTCCCCCCTATTACTCAGTACAATACTTATCCCGCGCTGATCTTCTGAACGGGCTTCATCGTCGCCTGGTGTGCGAAGAACGTATCTCGTCGACAAATCTAGCGCGCCCAAGTGGCTTAGAGTAGTAGAATCCTGGATACGAGTTTCCGACACGCAGCAAATATGGATTCCTAAGGATTCCATTGTACGAGCCAGACAATCTTGTTGACCTACCTGCATCAAAGGCCTCACGTTGAAGGCTTTAGATTCAGTGATTGACGAGGCTTTAGAATCTGCAATCCATTCCGTGGTAAACCACTTACAGTGTTATTTGGCAATGACCTTTGGCGAGCGACATCCAACTTGCTTGAGGGACTATTACAGGTCGGTAGAAGGGGTAAAGGGAGAGGGTTGGGAACGGAAGACAAAGAGTTAAACAAAGGTTGGGATATCTGAGCAGTAGCCCACTTATCACTACCCATCCCGCTCGATGCAATGGGCAGCGCGGTCCTGATTATCCTGCGCGACGACGGATGCAGTATGGAATTATTTTTATTTTGTGTATGCATTGGGGTTTGGTCGACGGGTACTGCTAGGGTGTCCAGCCACTAAGCAGGAGAACAATTAGGGTTCTCATCCAAAGCATTTAGTTCCAATAAGAACCTAACCGCAAGGCAGCGAGTGAGGCGAAGTGGAGGCCCATTTACTTGGATTCATTACTCCTCCACCGCTTTTTATCGACTGAAATTCCACTTTCAGACGAACCCCCAACATGGGGGACCAGAAGATTGAACTTCGTCTGACCTCTACGCGTTGACCTTCCAGGCATGATAAAACCTCCTGGCTTTATAAAGCCGTCCTGTGTAGCTCGTTGGGTCACGGAGGTGCACAAGCCATCACACCACGTCAAGGTGTAGTCTCGTCGTGATAGGAAATTTCATGTGTTTTTGAGGAACTGTATTGGTATTTCACTGTGGATTCAACGAAGGTGTATCAGTATCGATTTTGAACAAATCAACTAACGGTTTTCAAGATTATAGTTGGTTATTGGTAGGATGCATTTGCATACCTTGCTTTTCTTTATTCCGGTTGGCTGACTGGAGAGCACGTGCCCGCGTCATGAAGAGCATGATGTTCATGCACACGGGGCACAGAGGACTTCCTCAGCATTAAGCGTATTTTTTGATAGAACTTCTGTCTTACAAGACCAAATCCGGACTGGAAGGCACCATTTTTTGGCGCATGATTGTTCATTTTCCAGGACATGATTTAGTATCCAATATAAATAGATGCGATTCGGAGATTCAGCTACCACTGTGAGTGAGAGAGATTTTATTTATGGCCGTTAGGTGAGACAGAAAACGGCCGTCTTTGCTTGCTGTATGCAATCTCGTCAAGTTTTCTTTCAGCCTAAGTTACCCTCAAATCGATTTGGCTGACTTACCGTGCAGCTTACGCAGGATATGTATCTGATTCCTGGAGTCAAGTTAGAGAGTTGTGTAAATAACGAACTTCAACGAGTTGGTATATGCCACACAGGACATGGAAGTCTACCAGACAAGAGATCATTCTGCAATCATATTTCCCTTAGGTGTCCTTGGGACATACAATCAGAAATGAAAACCGAAGTTATCTTTCCTCATTTATTTTGTAATTTAATTTATGAAAGTAAACTTACGTAATCAATAGCCCAGCTATTTGTTGACACTGTG